CTTATCATTAAAATAAAAATACTTCCTTCTCTCATCCAAGATACCGAGCAATCCAGAAAAACTAAAGACAAAACTTGCTTACTTACCTGGGTAGTGTGATGTTAACTCGGAATAAAAACTCAAATAAGTTGATTTATCTAATTATATTCTATTTACACTACAAAATAGTACAATACTAAAATATACGTATTTAACAATTTCCGGGAAAGTTTTCTGTCCCTTAAAGTTATTACACATCTTAATCGGTTCACGTCACGAGGTCGAAAGGGAAAAACCCTTTTCTTTTCCTACTTCAATGACAGCCAATGCCATCTGTACCTCGTACATCAAGTAAAGAGATTTGTTTTAAATGTTTGTAAGATACTACTAATCAGTTTCACAAAATTATAAAATGCTTTTTTTGTGTGTGTGTGTGTGAATTATCTGTCATAAATAGAGGAGGTTAATTGTAAATTCCCACCTAACCTCCTTTTTTTCCAGTTGACTAAACCTCCTTTTTTCAAATTCTTTTTCGAAGATATCAAAGAAACTGATGAGAAGCTCCTCATCAAGTATACTAAAGTTTTAAAAATTCTGCATGGCAAAAGTACCTCATACTCACATATACCAGCCAGGCAATATTAGATGTCAGCAGCCACTTAAAAACTGAAGTTCCAAGCACTCGCATAAATTCTAGAATACTGTTTTGCAAGTGCACTACTCTTCTGCAAAGAAAACTTACATATCACTGCACATATCCCTGGCCTTAAAGCCCGAATCATTTAAACAACTGTAAATAAGGATAAAAGGTTAAACAAACAAAACTGAAAATGATAAGAAATTAAAGTCTTTAAACATTATGAATTAAATGGCAATGGACACAGTTTTGATACAAACTTATGCACTTTATTTTATCATCTTTCCCTGGGTAAACTTTAGTAATTCTCCCAAGCTTCAAATATGATAAAGTTTTATTCGTTTTCTAAAAAGATGCACCATATCGCCAACTTTTAGATCTTTTGTAATAATTCCCATGTTGTCATTTAGTATCATATTTCAGTAACTTGTGTATTAACAAGCAATTTTTACCCCATTTAATAATACCCACGTTGTCATTTAGTATCATATTTTAGTAACTTGTGTATTAAAAAGCAATTTTTCACTTATTTATACTAATATTTCTACATTAGTATTGGTACTGTTCTGTTATCAAGGACTGGGTCCAGAAATCTATGTATACAGTACAAAGTCCGAAATCCGGACCTCAAAACCACCGTTTTTCTTGTAGGCTTTTTTACGCATGCGCATTTGATTCCCCCCCTTTCGTGCATAATAAAACATCTGGAGAGTACAGTCCAGATTCTTAATTTCACTTCGACACTAAATAAAATAGCTTATTATTGAAGAAACAATCGTTTTAGCATAAATTTGTATGATCAGTAATTTGGCTCCGTTGCTGCATATCTCCTTGGCACACATCTCAAACTGAAACATTCCACATAGATACATCATTGATCTGATGCCAACCTGGCGAATCATGATTTATTATACTTTCCTTTAATCACCGCATGTTTATCAACACATAACAACTTGAGTAATGACTCATGTAGCAATGCCTACACAATTTTTTTGACTCATGTAGCGATGTCTAAACAAATGTTAGTAATTGAATAATAAAGGAGTACCGTAACCTTTTATGCCGACATTACACTTGGTGATGATTACAGATTTAAGTTAAATGCGCTAAAAATGTTGACGAGGATAAATTTAACAAAAATTTCTTTCCATATGTTAAAAAAAGATTTTGTGGATGATACTCATAGACCCAAAGATTACATTTAGGGCTATTTGAATTAAGAATAACTGATTTGTTACTCCCATAAACCCAGAACCAGCATCAGGGCTCGTATGGCCGCACCGGGTAGCAGAACTTAGGACCCACAGAGATTGCATCAGGTGGTAAGGTATCCAGCTATGGCTCTCAATAAGGCTTAAGTATATGTAGGAATTTATTTATTCAGGAAAATGTGCAAGAAATGGACATAAGTACAATAAATAACTAAACTAATACAATTCAGGCTTAATTGTCTCAGTGCATGATAGAAGCAAGATAAAATTTAACAGAACAACTTGTCGTTAGTCGTCAAGCTCATGATGCATAGCCAAATATGTATAGTGAACGACAGCTAAATTTGATGATGATAGTCATGAATTTTAAAGGTTTTCGGATATCACACAACAAAGGTGAAATTTTTCAATTAACGTATTTTGTAAACAAATGTGGAGAAACTGTAATAAATGAAGATGATATAAAAGAAGTTTTTTATTGTGATGACAAAGCTTCTCAATCATCAATCGATTAATGAATGACGAAATCTGTAGTACGGTTGTAGATCCAGAAAATACAGCTACCGATAGTGAAGAAAGTGACAGAGAAGTTACTAAGGCAGTTACAGGACATCAACAATGTAACTGAACAAGAGATTATGCCTGTTTACAGAATTAAAGAGAAAATATTAGCACAAAAAAGAAAGCAACTTAAACAAATTACATTTAAAGAAATGTTTAATAAGGTAAACAAATAAATACTAAGCTCTTTTTTTTTTTTTTTTTTTTTTTTTTTTATGTGTGTGTGTGTGTGTGTGTAAATTTTGATACCCTTTAGATCATAAATACTTCATCATTTCATAAATCATGATTTCATGTTTTTAATTTTATAATTTCTACATGCCATCTCACTAGATTTAAACATGGACCATATAAGAGATAGACTAACCCAGTGGGCGGGGCACGCGTCACCGACATCTAGGCAAGAAAGGGTAGGGACGACCTGGTTTACTTTAACACTGAAACCTATGGCGTTTGTATCACGTAACCCTTTTTAATTATTAAATGTGATATGTTGTATAGTCATAAGATTATGAAAGCCACAGGTTTTTCCAAATAGGATTCAATATATCTCATTAAAGCACTTTTTACTGCATTTCGCGCATTTTTTTCCCGCGTAATTCTTGTACAAGCATCTTTACTTTGGTAAAACAGTAAAAACTCTAAGCACAAAATTAATGAACATGATTTTGCGTAAAAATAAAGTAAAACTAAATAAGATTGATAGTACGCGATACTTTGAAATAAATAAGGTAAAATTAAACAAGACCTGTTAATTTTTTTTAAATTTAATGAACATTTTCAGGCAGCAATTTTAAAAACTATAATAACATTAAAAAACGATCATATTTATTTGATTATATGATCATTAAATAATTAACATTAAAGTGGATTAGTTATTTTAATAATTCATAAAATTCAGAGCATAAAATTTTCTGAGCGTAATAAAGGAAAAAAAAAGATCAAATAAAATCTAGAAGCACTATTTTTTTAAACTTTTGTGTGTTACCTATATTTATTGAATATCATGTTCTTCGCTCGTAAACCACATACATTTGAAAACTGAATATCTTTAGAATTTCAGATACACAGTCCGCACGCTGGAGATAAAAACTGTCTCTTTCCTGTACAGTGTTGCATTGCTCGCTCTGAACTTGTTGAGTTTGTTAATCAAAAATTCGTTAAAGTTTTACAAAATATGAACTATATTAAAACAAATTCGAAATTCAGCCGTCCAGATGCCCATGTTCGGGTGGAGGATTACATTATTCAAAATTTGATGGCTCTAGATACTGTCTTTTTGTCACAGTTCGAGAAACATACATGTATTCGTGCAGATTCTTCATTATTTAATTTCTTTAAATATAATACAGGGTGATAATATTTGGTAAAAACAATTTGCGAGGAGACACAGACATTTATAGTAAAACAGCACAAAATGCTGCTTCGCCTTTCTTTTCTTCTAGAACAGCCTTTCTAGGCTACCGCCCCTTTGGGCTACTAAATTAAATTAACAGTAAATAAAAAAAAAAATCTTATGCAGAACTAAAAATAAACTTAAAAAAATAATCACTATAAAATACAAGCAAAATTAATTATTAGGGTTAAATACAATTTTAATATTAGAATTAAATGTATAAAAATTTTTAAGGAGTCAAAAGTCTTTATCCCGATGATGCATTTTGAAATATAATTGAAATAAAATTCCTTTATAGAAATTGTGCTATAATTTTAAAAAAGCAGCACAATTTAGAATTTTAAACAAAATTTTCAAAAATTCGTTTTTAAATATTTTAGTATATTTTACTTATTTACACCAATAAAAAGCATAAAAATTGCAAGAGAAAATTGCTTGTTTGAAATTTTCTATTAGTTCAGATTTAAAATATTATTTTCTAAAAGAAGTAGTTACAAATTTCCTTACAGCATAGGAAAAGCTAAAACAATATCCTGTCCTGAAAGCATGCAATAGCTTTATAATTATTTGGAACATTAATTATACTTGATATATATGCTAAATTTTTAAAAATCAATCTCAATTTAAAAAATAAAAATATATGGAAATTCTAATTTGTGAAATGAGGCGCTAGAACAAGCTTTTTCTTGACAATTCTACACGCTGCAATAGGCAACCAATGTTAAATTTCTGCAAGTCATCCCTACTCCTCTGGATGTGATCAAGGTGACAGCCGTTAACACCTCAGACGAGGGAGAAAACCCGTTTGGGTTAGTCTATTTCTTATAAGGTCCATGGCTTTAAACTGCCGATCTAATATCCAGATAAATCTCAAATTAGGAATTGCCGAAGTCCCAACGAGTCCAGATTTCGGACTTTGTACTGTATATGCATTTATGTTGGAATGTATATGTTCATGTACATAGGTATCTCCGTGTGTATACACATATATACCTACATACATATATGTATACATACACTTCAGAATCCAGTCCTGATAATAGAACAGTACTGTAAAATTTCATTTTGGTCAACATAAGATTAAAAATTATATTCATATGCAAGTTTATATATTTTTAAATATATCAACTTTAAATACTGCATATTTCATCAAGTAAGATTCAAGTAGCTAAGCACTAAAACTTTTAAATAGATATATCAAATTCAAATATCTCACCAAAAGAAAAACAAAATGTGGAACACTTGAAACATCATATTTTTTGCTAATATCTTCACATTTTGATGCATCAATCTGGTAAAAAAAAAAAAAAAAAAAAAGGTTCACAACAATGAATTGCATACTTTATGAACTATAAGTATTTGTATATCTTCATGCATTCTTGCCCTGCCTAATTTAAAATTAAAAAATTCATTCTCAAATTGATCTTGAAAGCTATAGCATGATCAGGCATTTAGATTGTGCTCCAATAAAAAGGAATATAACAGCCATTACATATTACTGTACTTTAAACTTTTTTTTATGTTTCTTTTTTTCCATAAAAAATTGCTTAATACAACTTTTTTCCCCCTTTGTACACACATGTTTAACAGCACCATTGTGCAAAACTGAAAAATTGCACAAACATATTAGATATCCTTGATATAACAAAGAAAGTCCTCTGGATAAGACTTTTGAAAAGTATGAATATTTTGCTCCCCCTTTTTTTCCTCAGACATACTCTAGCATATTTATTGCAAACTTTCAATAACTTTCAAAATAAAATATACTTATTAACCTTGATTAAAAACACGAGACTTTCACACTTAGCAACAATAAAAATGCACAGAACTGCCTTGATTTTGCTTTTGCCCACTTTGGTTGTTGTAAGCCTGACCTAAAGTTGTGTTTCATGCTCAATGGAAAATTGAAATCTGATGTTTTCAGCTAAATTTACCCCATGTGCACAGCCATTCATTGATAAAACAGATTTGGCTATGATTATTATTATTTAAACACTAGAAATACTATTTCTGGGCACAAAAATCATCAAAAATTTTAGAAATAAGAAAAAGCAAGAAGAAATATGTCATGAAACGGACTAGATGATTACAGCTGAAAATCGGGAAAGTTGGTATTTCAGCATTATTATACTGGAATCAAATACTTCTTTAAATGCAAAAAGGTACTTTTAAAATATTATTCAACTTTTGATCACGATAGCAGAGTAGCATTTATCTAAAAATAACATGTAGCAGTTTTGATTTCAAGTTTTGTGAAAATTTACACAACAGAAACTGAGCTTTTTACTTCAAAAATTTTATTCATTTAACTTGTATTCCGACTTTTTAAATAAACAGATACATTTATGAAATAACATACTTCTTATATTAAATCAATAAAAATTAGAAAAAAAACATGTATCATTAACACATAATGTCTATACAAATAATACTTATTAACCTTGATTAAAAGGACACTTTTGTACTCTTCACTTTTACTAAGTTCAGTTACAACATCTGTCATTTGGTTGCATTCTGCTGAATTGTCAACATAGAAGTACAAGACTTTCAAGTTACTATAATAAAATTAAATAAGATTATTAAAACATTTGCAAAAATTATTCAAAAGGCATATAAAAAATTTCAGAAAGTACTGCATGAGTTAATTCAAATATTGCAACTAATATAATTGCTAATTTGATTATACAGTTAAACTATAATAGACAAAGTAAACTTTTATTACCTACCTTTACTGTGCTTTTAAACATACAATGATTCTTAAACAACCATGCTGTTTTATTTCATTTTAATTATGGCAAACTACAGATTATCTGCCTCAGAGAGGAGTTTCCAACAGAAACTGGCTCATATTTACATCATATTAGGAGAGAAAAATAAATAAATAAATAAAAATTTAAAAATAAATAAAGAAAGAACTCCTATAGGCAGCAGTTTATTCCCTTAGATTCACCTATGTTGAATTATAGCATTCAGGAAGCTTATTTCTTCAGCTACTGATACATTAAACTAATTATATGGCTGTACTCAATTAAAAAAAACTTAATAAAGTAATTACTATTTATAAAAATATTTGAATATCATTACAGATCTAACAGCACTAATTACAGAATAACCATTATCATAACTAATTAGGAAATTTAATTACTCAAAATAATGGACAACAAATGGCAGACAGATAACATCTTTGAAAACTTGCGATTTACCTTGGGTTCAGTTCCTAGGCAGGCAATGGATTGGCTGCATAGGGATTTTTACATGCATAATATAAATATAGTCAATTTCCTTTAGAAGGTCTTTCAGGATGGCATCCCTTCAGACTCACAGTCCTTGTTCATTTATTCAAAATTAATTAACAAGTCAAATAAAAATATTTAAATCAGGATAAACCTAAACATATAATAAAAGGACGAGTCTGTGTGCCTTTCGTTCATGCTGCGCGTAAGCTAATAGACACAGGGCTACGAAATTTGGTATATAGGCGCATCTAGACAAGAGCCAGTGCACCTCGAAGCGATGTTTTTCAAAATTCGAATCTGAGTTTTTTTAATTTTATCTTTTCGGTTTTATCGCATCATTCTGAATAGTTTCATTATTTTAGAAATGTGGTTTTGGCAACAGTTTTTCATTCAATTGCAAGGAGGTTAGAATAGAAGGAGGGAAGGTTCAACTTAAACGGTGAAGCGTGGCGGCCATCTTCCTGTTATCACCCTGACTTGTGCAAGGAAGTCTGTCATTGCAACATTTTTTTTTCTTTTCTTTTTGAAGCATGTCAGCTTGTGTTGCATATGGATGCACAAATAGATTCTCGAAAAAAATTCTGGGCATTACTTTTCACACGTAAGTATTGATTTTCTTTTTTTATGTAATATGGCAACTATGTTAAAAAATATCACAATGTCATGTTTTCTTTCCAGATGTGAAAAAAAAGGAGTTAAATAATCACAACATGTTATGTAATATAACTACAATCAAAAAATGTTAAATATATTTTAATGTTTCTGTTTATAGCTGGTATCTTCCTTCCTTAAGATACAATGATATATGGTAGGATTTAAATTGTATAATTTGAATGTTTTAGGTAATTCCTTTTATAACTTTCATGAAAAGTAAGAAATCAATTGTTACTAATTTTATTAATTGTAAAGGTGTTAAGTAAAGCAATGCTTTCTTTATATATTAATTATTATTCATTTTTTTAAGTTAAGATAAACTGTTCTGTTGTTAAAAATTTTTTGCATAAACTTACAAATTTCTAGGCAGTATAGTGATAAAATTAAGTAAAATATTTATTGAACATGTGGAAAGATGTATCCAAAAACTTGTATAGGTATATTTCTGTAATTCAGCTTAATTAAAGGCAGTTTCTTTGAGATTAATAAATATGAAATGCATAAACTGAAATCATTGAATTCACATAAATCTGTTTTATTTTATTAAGTTGTGAAAAGGATCTTCTATTTAAAATTTTCATTTAAAAAAAATGCAACCTGTGACTATTTTTTTAGATAATTATCTGCTATTAATTTTAGGTTTCCTAAAATTGCAGAACGAAGAGCAGCTTGGATATGAGCTGTTCGAAGAGAGAATTGGATGCCAACTTCCTATTCACGACTTTGTTCGGATCATTTTTCTGAGGATCAGATTGACAGAACTTCATTATGCTGTGTAAGACTTGGAGAAAATGCTGTGCCTAATATCTTCAAAGCATTTCCACTTCACCTGCAGAAGGTACATTATTCTGTTATTATTACATAGAATAAGAAATTAAATAAGAATTTGTGTACATGTTTATCTCTGAAATGATATTTGCAAAAGATCAAATATTTCTAGTAGCCTGATTTCAGTAAAAACTAGTAAAATGATATTGGTCTAATGAAACTTGCAATGGCATAACATGCAAACTTATCATATGTGGTTATATGTGTCATTGTGGTAATGATTTCAAAATCAAAATATCTTTCATTCAGACTTAATGAAAAGATAATGTTACTTTAATTTAAAGACTATATTCAGTAAATTTAGAAAGCATTATTTCAAAACAAAAATTAATTGACATTAAATCATTGTTTGGAAAATGAATTATCTTATTTTTAGTTAGTGTTAATTTTCATATGAAATTTTTAAACATAACATCATTTTGCATGTTAATTAGACTACATAAATATTACAAGACACTTATAAAAAGTTTATTAGAAGTAAATCTGCATTAGTCATGCTTAATAATAAATATCTTTTCTTTCTTTTTTTTTTTTTTTTTTTTCCAGACCAAAAAAACACGAAAAGTTCCCGCAGAACGTCTTCTTGAGGATAAAAAGAAAGAGGTAAGTCAGTTTTGAATTTAATGTTACCAGCAGTTCTTTTGTTTTCTTGATCAAATGTATTTGAAAGTAAAATATTTTGTATTCAAAGAGAATAAAGCAACTTTTTGCGTGAGAATTATCATAATAAGAAATGTTTAGAATCAACAATAACCTGTCCCTTAACCAACAGAAATTTTTTCTTTTTGATTTGCTACTTTTGGATATAACGTTGTGCTTTATGCAAGAATTTCTCTTCTAAAGCTTGAATAAAGTTAAAAGCTTAATGCAAATAAATGCTGGAAAAATTGGTCATGACTATTTTAGTTTAGACGAGGACAGTTTTTTAATAAAAAATGAAAGAATTAATGCTTTCTGGGGAGTTGGCCATTTGTCTGAAGCTTAAAAAAGACAAATAACAGATTTCTTCTTGACAAAAAACTGAAAATGTTCTATAAATTTTATTATTTTACCAATTTAAACAGTGCCATTCCTGAAATGAAGCTTCGGCAACAGTCGCCAATTATTACTGATTAATTCTAAAGGACACATTCATCTGTAATGAGCACTGAATCATACTGTTTTACCAGTCAAATGAATAATATTCAAATAAAAAAATAATAATAAAAAATCTGATATTCATTCAGAACACATACATTCATACAGATTCTTTATTATTTAATTTCTTTAAATATAATACAGGGCGATAATATTTGGTGGCAACTATTTGAAAAGTGATTTGCAGTTTATAGTTTTTAACGCAAAATGAAATTAATAGTCCTTTGGGGCCAATTGCCCCTTTGGACTATTAAAGAATGAATGATACTGTTAAAATGAAAGCAGGAATACCTTTTGTTACTTTTATGTAATTTTTTATTTGCCATACATCTGATTGATTTCCCCCCCCCCAAGGAGCCTGTATTATGTGAATCACAAACTAGTGCAACGTCTGTTGAATATTCTCCATGCAAGCAACAGCTGAAGCGAAAGCTGCATAAAACTGAAGAATTAAATAGTGTCTACAGAAAGAAAATTAAGCTGTTGCAACAAACTGCACGTAGACAGAAAAGGACTATCTGCAATTTGAAAACTGTATTAAAAGATTTAAAAAAGAGCAGGATAAATGAATGATTATCTGGACATTTTTAAAAAATCAATTCCTGTTAATGAAGAACTTCTTTTACGGGAATTAGCAACGTGTGGGAAAGGCCAGTTACCAAAACATTACAGTAAAGAATTAAAGGCTTTTGCTTTAACTCTTCATTTTTATTCACCTAAAGCATACAAATATGCTAGAAAAACATTCAATTCATGTTTGCCACATACCAAGGCTCTAGCAAACTGGTACAAATCTATAAATGCAGCACCTGGTTTTACAACTGAATCTTTGAATGCATTAGATAATAAAAGAGTACTTCATACCAATTGCTTTTTTCATTAACCATTGATGAAATGGCCATACGTAAACATGTTGAATTTGATGGCCAAATTTATCATGGATACGTTAATACAGGTATACAGGATGATGATTCCCTTCCACTAGCTAGAGAGGCATTAGTGTTTATGCTAGTGTGTATCAATGGTAACTTTAAAATCCCAGTTGGATATATTTTAATTGATGGCATTAGCAGTGAAACTAAAGCAAACCTTGTGCTTCAGTGTTTAACTGTATTACACAATGTTAACATAAAAGTTGTATCATTAACATGTGATGGTTTATCTTCGAATTTGAATATGCTAAAACATTTAGGTTGCAGATTTGACAGTTCAGATTTCAATACTATATTTAAGCATCCTGTTAACGGAGATGATATTGTAGCTTTTTTAGATCCTTGCCATATGCTCAAATTAGTCTGCAATACCTTGGGAGATAAAAAATGCATTGTTGATGAAAATAAAGGCCTTATTGACTGGAAATATATTACAGCATTACAAGAATTACAAGAGACAGAAGGACTTCATCTAGGTAACAAACTGAAAAAGCAATATGTCAGATTCTTTCGGCAAAAAATGAAAGTTTCTCTTGCAGCGCAGCTTTTTAGCAAATCTGTTGCTGATGCCATTCAGTTTTGTGCTGAGGTTTCAGACTTAGATACATTCAAAAATTCAACAGCAACAGTTGAATTCTTAAGCTTAAAAATTAATGATTTATTTGACATTCTCAATTCAAGAAATTTAAAGCAGACAGGATTTAAAAAAGCTGTGAATATACATAACAGCAGTTTTATTCTCAAAGCTCTTAATGACTTGGAAAGGTA